ATCTCAGGCATCGCCGTAAAGCGAGAACTTGCACACAGCCTGGCCCCGTGGGCGCCACAGGCAGCCGGAGAAGTTAAACAGCAGGATGACAGCAGTGGAGCTCAGTCAGCCCCTTCTCTCTCCTTCCTTTAAAAAATGGATATACAGCCCTAACCGGTTTGGCTCAGTGGATAGAGCATTGGCCTGCGGACTCAAGGGTCCCAGGTTCGATTCCGGTCAAGGGCATGTACCTTGGTTGTGGGCACATACCCAGTAGGGGGTGTGCAGGAGACAGCTGATCGATGTTTCTCTCTCATCGATGTTTCTAACTCTCTATCCCTCCCCCTTCCTCTCTGTAAAAAATCAATAAAATATATTAAAAAAATTGATACACAACTTATATGTAATAAAATTTACCCCTTTAAGGTGGATAATTCAGCGGTTTTCGGTATATTCACAGCATTGCACAGCCATCACCACTGTGTAGTTCCAGGACATTTTATCACCTCACGCTCTACCGCCAGGCCCATGAGCGGTCACTGCCTAGTCCCTCCTCCCACAGCTCTGCAGCCACTGATACCTTCTGTCTCTGGGTTTGCCGGTTCCGGGCATTTCATGTAAATGGAATCACAATACGTGGGCCCCTGTGTCTGGCTCCTTTCACGTAAGCCTCCCATGTTTGAGGTGTGTCCGTGTTGTGGCATCTCTCACTGCTTCTCTCCTTTCCATGGCTGAGTAATATTCCCTCACGGGAAAGACCACAGTTTGTTTACCCACTGCTGGCTAATGGGCACGGGTTATTCTGCCTTTGGGCTGTTGTGAGTGATGTTTTCCATTCCTCTGGGTTTGGTTTTTCCAGAAGCTCTTTGCAGTGGCCAGCTGTCTCCATGTCTCTAGCCTGGCTGTTTGGAAAGCGAGAGAACACAGAGCCCAGCGTGGTGGCTGGCGGGAGGCAGTCGTGGGGGGAGATGCAGATGGCGACAAGGGGAGGGCGGGCTTAAACCTGGCCCACAGCGTCCGGTGGTAGGTGGGTATTTTCCCTGTTAGTTATTAACTGATGGTTATGATCCTGAAAGGAGATCCCCGGGGCTAGAATTGGTGCTTAGTTGAGATGCCAGAAATGTTTTCAAAGACATTTAAACAGTCCTGGACCCTTGATTCTCTCTCTCTACAAGGAGACCGGATCACCATTTTATGAGTCGTGATAACAATAAAGATGATGATTATAATAATGGTCTACATTTAGATAGGACTTTATTTTTCATTTCATAGTCATCACTTTTAATTCCTTAGAACATCATCACCCCCATCTGCAGATGAAGGAACAGGGACACAGAGAGGTGAGGTAACCAAGGTCACACAGTGGGGTAGCAAGAAGAGCCGGACTTGAACCCAGGAATCTCTTGATTCGTAGTGTAGGGCATTTTCATAGAAATGTGTGAGGGATGATGGCTGCAAGGATCTCAAATGGTCTGAGGCAGAGCCAACGGAGGCTGGAGGTGAGGACCCTGGATGCCTGGGTGCTGAAAGTGGGGTCCTCCCCCTGCCCCCCGGGTGCTGTCCAGTTCCCTACAAACAGCCCCATTTGGATGAATTGCCCTTTGGTTTTTCAGCTTCCCCTCCAGGCTCTTTGATCATTTCCTCCTGAGATTTGCATCTGGCCAAAGGGGGCTGGAACCTCATTTGGCTAAAGCCAGTGAGCACCTCTCCTGGCCTCCCTGAGCCCTCCCAGGACCGCCCAGGCTCTGGGGAAGGAACCCTGAGTACAGGAGCTCAGTGCCATGTGGTTCCAGGAGGGAGGCATGCTGAGTGGCAGTGCCCTAGACCCCCTTAGATGGGAGGAGGGCTCCTGTTCTGTCCATTCACTCCTGCTCTTACCACCCTGCTCTTAGCTGAGTGAATGCTCTTCCTCTCCTCCTCGGCCTTCTCTCTGCCCTCCTCCCCACTCCTCCACTCCCATCAGCAGCCCCTCCTCCTGTGCGTCCCTGTGGGGGTCCTGGACCCCAAGTCCTTAGAGCTGCGGGTGGGCATTTGGCTGTCTTGGTTGAAGGGGCAGTTTCCAATCTCACTGCTATGATACATGTCAAGATCACTGTGGGCTACTAGAAAGATGTTACAGAGAATAGTGAGGGTCCCACCTCTGCTAATAATTTACTCTCCACTTATAAAAATTAGATCAGATTTAAGGTCACCCCTTGATAGACCCGTGCCACTCTCACCTACTCATGTGTGACGTTTGCCTGAGAAAAGGCTGGAACTGCATTGAGCACTGTAGTTCTTATCTCAGTGCCAGCCAGTAGCACGGCGGGCTGGCTGTCCTTGGGAGGGTGGCTGGCACTCGAATGTCATTGGTTGTGAAGGCCGGGCAGGACAAGGTGGGGCCCAGCTGACCACAGCAGGGGTGTGAGGCTGAAGTAGGGATTTCATGCTCCTTGTTTTGGGTCCTCTGGTTACAAAGCCAAGGCTGGAGCCTGGGACTTGGGCAGTATTTTGTTGCCTAGGGCCGCCGTAACCAAGTAGCACAAATGGGGGCGGGGGGCTTGAAATAACAGACATTTATTGCCTTCATTGCCTTCGTTCTGGAGGCTAGAAGTCCAAAGTCAAGTGTCAGCAGGGCCAGGCTCCAAGCGTCGCTGGGGAAATCCTTCTGGTGGGAGACACCCTGAGCTCCCACTTGAGAGTCCTCACCGCTCCCTGGAGGTTATTCCAGCATCCGGGGCAAACAGGCTGGCGCAGGGGAGAGGGCTCAGTCCAGGGAGGGTTTGGTACGGGGGCCCTTTGTCTGGGATGCAGGGACTTGGAAAAGAATCGCATCTGCTCTGGCCTCATGGGAGTGGACATCTTGTGCCTTATGGAGGGAACCATGTACATGAGCATCCCTTGGCCACTGGTGTAAAAACCTGCCAGTATTTCCCTCCCCTAGAGTGTGTGTTTTTGGAGAGCCAGGGCAGCTATTGGTCAGGTTGGCCCACAAGCCATCTCCAGCGGAGCAGGCCAGAGGTCCTCTGCTAACCCCCGGCTGTCCTATAGTCTCTGGGGGGAGGGGGCGCTTGCCTCCCCTCCCCTCCCTGCATGCTTTTTCCTACCAGGCTCCCAGCCCCCAAGGGGAACTGCCTTCCTCTGTCCTCACCTCAGGGGACCTGAGAGTGGTGCTCCTCATCCTTGATCGTTCTTCCCCCCTTCCCTTTCCCCACCATGGCTCTCAGGGGGGCAGCCCATAGAGGAGGGACCGTGGCTGCTTGGGAGAGGGCAGAGTGGCAGGAGGGATGGGCCTGGGTGGACCACGACCCACAAGCAGGTGAGGGCCGGAGGAGCCAGGCTGGATCCCGTGGTGGAAGGGAAGGTTGGTGGTTCTGGCTGAGAGCTAGCTATAGTCTGGATCAGGAGGGAGGAGACCCCCACTCCAGCCATCAGAGAGGCCAACGTCCGAAAAGAAAGGAGGAGGAAAGCCGGGCCTCGTCGTTCAGTGGTTGAGCGTTGACCTATGAACCAGGAGGCCATGGCTCGATTCCCCGTCAGGGCATATGCCCGGGTTGTGGGCTCCATCCCCAGAAGGGTGCATGCAGGAGGCAGCCGCTCAATGATTCTCTGTCATCATTGATGTTTCGATCTCTCTCTCCCTCTCCCTTCCTCTCTGAAATCAATAAAAAATATATTTAAAAAAAAACACAAAGAAAGCGGGAGGAAGGCAGATGGAGGAGCAGAGGGCGAGTTGGCAGGTTGAGGTTAAGGGGTCACAGGGAGCCTCTCCCAGCCAGATGTGCACGCAGCCTCCTTATCGCGCTTCCTGGAGGACAGGCTGCGGGGCAGGCAGGCGTTGTGTCAGGGTGGACGGGGCCCGGGGCACGTGGTCTGGCTTCTCTTAGTCTGGGCCTGTCTGGCTGAGAGGAGCCGGGACAGGGTGGTGGCTGGGCCCAGGACAAGGGTGTGCTCTGGGCAGAGGGCTGGGCTCTGCAGGGGTGGGGTTCTCTCATGAAGGAGGTTGGGGTTGGAGCTCTGACCCCCTTTGGCAGTACGTGGGCTGGAAAGAAGTGCAGACATGTTCTCTCGAGTTGGCAGGGGGTGTTCCTTGGTCGTTTAAGGGGGACCAGGCGTTGGACTGACTCAGCAGCTTCAGGCTGGGGCTCTGGAGAAGGAAACAGTTGCAAAGTTGGGGCTTGGATGGTTCATCCTGATCTTTTTAGGCTCCTTGTACTGTTATCCTTGCCTTCCCTCCCGTCCCAGGACATAACTAGGGCACGTCCAGGACTCCAGAGTTCCTCGTCCGGGGCCTCCCCCGGGCTCTGCCCAGCTGGCTGTTGCGTAACCGCTGTCCCGAAGCCTTATCCTACTGCAAACATTCTGCCTGGTGATCAGACTGTGCACTAGCACTCCCTGGTCACTGGAAGGGCCAGATGGAAAGTGGGGGGTGTGCGAGAGCAGGGAACCTGTCGCAATCATGTTGTCATGGCTACACAACTCTGTTTAGCCGTCTCCCCATGGTCCTAGCCCACAGGGACTAAAATAAGTTTCACCTGCAGCTCACAAAGCAGGCAGCCCCTTCCTCCCAAGGTCAGCTGTCTGGCTAGTGTGTGTGTGTGTGTGTGTGTGTGTGTGTGTGTGGTGTGTTGAGGGACAGAGGGGCCACAGAGAGGATGAATAGAAAATGCTCACCCCTCTCCCCTTCTTCTCCCACCCAGTCCCAATCCTGTACCTCGTTAGCCCGGTGACTCTCAGACTTCAGCGTGCGTCAGAACCACGTTGAGAGATAGTTAAAATGCACATTCCTGGGCCCCGTCACCTGAGAGCCGGGGGTGCACTTGAGAATTTGCATTTCTCGCAAGTTCCTGCTGCTGGAGCAGAAACCACGCGTGGAGCAGCCCTGCTCTGGGTTTTACTCCATCCCAGCCGGGAAATGCACCCACTCTGGTTTGCTCAGTGTGTGCTGGACGGTGTGCCCAAGCCCAGCGCTTTGGAGGAGAGAGGGGACGGTGCGGGCAGGCCCTCACTCACCTCTTCTGTGTTCTGTGGCCTCCTCACAGGAAGCAGGAGCTGGCCAACAGCTCGGATGTGCCCCTGCCAGACCGGTCGCTGTCCCCTCCTCTCACGGCACCTCCCACCATGAAGGTAAGAGGCTCAGAGCTGGTAAGTGGGGAGGGGTGGGGAGGGGGTGCCGCTCAAGGCTCTGCTTTGTTTCGGCACCGGCCCAGCTGCGCCTGCCCAGTGAAGGCACGGGTGCCCAGCCTCCTCTGGAAGCCGCGTTCACCTGAGCTCAGCAGCGCGGGAGGGAAGTGTGACTGAGACTCAGGGGTGTTAGGGTGAGGAAATAGACTGGGCTGATGGGGTTGGCAGGATGCTTGGTAATTAGTGAGAGGCCTTGTGGAGCTGTGGGGTTCCGGAACAAGGGTCCCAGGCAAGAGGAAGCGGAGCAGGTTTAGCATGTAGCTGCAGGCTAGTGCCTTAGGGGCCACTGCCCAGAAGGGCTGCCAGGGCCTGGGGATGGGAAAGGAGGGTCCCATGGGCTGGGACCCTCCTGGTTCTTTTTAAGACGTTTTTAGATATGGTTTTTAAATTGATTTCAGAGAGGAAGGGAGATGAAGAGAGAGATAGAAACATCAATGATGAGAATCATTGATCGGCTGCCTCCTGCCCGCAACCTGTGACCTGTTGGTTCATGGGTCAATGCTCAACCATTAAGCCACACACTGGTCGGGCATCTCCTGGTTATTGAATGGAACTTGCATGCCGGTCTGCCTGCTTCCGACTGGCCTTCTTAGGCTGGCCCTGTCACCCCAGTGCCTGTAGGAGAGTTGACTTAAGGTTCTGGGTAATTCTTTTCCTGTTACCATTTTATTCACAGGTCTCTCTCCTGGGAAACCACATCCCAGGCCCCCATGCCCAGGCCCATCTCATTCCTGGAAAGGAGCTGAGGGGCCATCACCCTCCCCCCACTATGCCCCTCCCTCTTTACCCTAGTCCCCCTTGGTGGCATGGCCACACACACCTGATGTGGCCTTCAGGGAAGACTTTGGCTCAGGCACTATCCCTGCCCAGGCAGCAATGCACCTCCCTCCCTTGCATTTTGCCAGGTGAGGGCTGGCTTTGAAGAAGTCACCCGCCGCCTGAATCAGCTGAGGGGACATGTAGGCCAGCCTTGTCTCTGTCCTGGAGCTCTGCTGTGAGGTGACTCACAGGGAAACAGTTAGGGCCCTTCTCTTCCCTGTTCTGGAACTTGTAGTCTAGCTAGGGAGACAAGAGTTGAAAAAAGAATTTTAAGAACGAAGGATGGACAGTTTGGTGTGATGATAATTAGGGCTGTTCTCTGTTGTACCCCCTCTTCCCTGAAGTAATCGTCGAGGATTGAGAAAGGTATGTTGAGATGGTTTGGACATGTAGAGAGGATGAGTGAAAGGAGATAGATGAAACAAGTGTACAAGACGAGTGTGGATGGGAGAGTTGGAAGGGGTCGACCTCAGCGAACGTACCTCAATCAGATTGAGGACGTTTTTAGCAAAGGCCAGCTTAGGAGTACCCCAATTAAGTTAATAACAATGATGTTTAAGCTGAACCCTGAGAGTTGAGCAGGAGTCAACTGAGGGTGGAGGAGGGTGTCCTAGACACTCACTACTCGAAGAGAGGCCAGGAGACCACAAACACCTGCATTATTTGGGAGCTCCGTAGAAGTGCAGGATCTCAGGCCTCCCTCCAGACCACTGAATCAGAATCTGCATTTTAGCACCATCCCCATTCACATGTACTTTCCACTCCAGAAGCACTGCTGTGGCCCCAAATGCTCTGGGGCAGGAGAGCCATGGCTTCTCCAACCAGGAGACCAGCATGGCCAGAGCATCCACCATTAGGGACGGAGAGTCAGACCCTTGGAAGTTCTGCTGAAGATATTGGGCTTCATCCTGCGAAGGGCAATGAAATCACTGAAGGTTTTAGCCAGAGGTGTAGATGATGGGAAAAATGACTGTGGTTGTTGTGTGGAGAGTGCGTGGGAAGAGCAGAGTGGAAAGTGGGAGATGAGTCGGGAGGCTTCTGCAGGAGTCCAGTGAGGAGAGTATGGTGACTTGACTCTGAAGGCCCTTGAGGTTATTTGGAAACAGTCAGGTCTCAGATTTCCTACGAGGTAGACTGATGAGCTAGGAGGATCTGGGAGAGGTGGGATCAACTGGATAAATGGTTACAGCCCTTCTCTGAGATGGAGTGATCCGGAAGGGAGGGCGAGGCCTTGACTTCTAAGTGCTGAGTGGGACATGCTTGAGACACGAATGGGGATGCCAGTGAGCAGCTGGGTATTTGGGGGCCAGGTTTAGAAGGAGGGTCTGGACTGGAGGTAAAAATCTGGTCATTTTCATAGAGATGGGATTGAAGCTTGGGGTGTAGGGGTGGTGGGGCGGTGAACTCTCCAGGGAGAGGATGGAGTAAGAAGATTCCTGGGATAGCACCTGGAGGGACTCTGGTGTGGAGGAGGCTGGACACATGTTGGGAGGAGCATTCACAAAGGAGGGGCGGGTGGCGGCTGTGTCAGCTGCTCGGAGAGGCCAAGTACGATGCGCAGTGCACAGTGGCCTTTGGGCTTAGTGCCCAGGTTGCTGCTGCTGATGTAACTGAGAACAGTTGTGGGGAGGGAGGAGGGGTGGACACCAGACTGGGCGTGTGAGGAGTGAGTGGAGATGGTGCGGGACTCGGAGGTGTAGACAACGCTTGTGAGATGGGAGACTGGAGTGTGTGGAAATGCTGAAGGAGGGAGCAGGGTGTATGGAGATACAGGAGAGAGGGGCACTGATGGAGAACTTGGAGCACAGGGAAGAAATTATTAATATTGATTCATTAAAAAATTATTTATGAACATCCGCTGGGTGCCGGACCCTATTTTGCTCTGGCCAGCACAGGATCTGGCCAGCTGTCGGGGTGAGGCTGGCCTGTGTGAGACCCCAGGCAGCCTCAGAACAGAGCAGCCACCTGCAGGGAAATCTTAGTGACCCACTGTCAGAAGGCAGCCCTAACCCTGGGCGCTCTGTCCTTCTCCTCTTTGAACTCAGCTCAGGAATTTCCCAGCCTGTGACTTGACTATCCAAAGCCCCAACACCAAGGTCAAGGCTGGGAACGCAGAAAGATTCGATGGGCTGCCCTGGGGACTCACAATTGGTTAGGACCCTTCTGTGGTTGGCATTGGGAGTTCAGTGTGTGGTATACCTGGACTTAGGGGCCTCTCTGTGATTGTCATTTGGGCTTATTCTGTATCTAAGCCAGCCGTGGGCAAACTACGGCCCGCGGGCCGGATCTGGCCCGTTTGAAATGAATAAAACTAAAAAAAAAAAAAAAAAGACCGTATCCTTTTATGTAATGATGTTTACTTTGAATTTATATTAGTTCACACAAACACTCCATCCATGCTTTTGTTCCGGCCCTCCGGTCCAGTTTAAGAACCCACTGTGGCCCTCGAGTCAAAAAGTTTGCCCACCCCTGGTCTAAGCTGTAATTAGATGCCTGTCCAATATGTTTTTATTGATTTTAGAGAGAAAGAAAGGGAGAGCATGAGATAATAGATAGATAGAGAAACATTGATGTGTGAGAGAAGCATTGATTAGTTGCCTCCAACGCTTGCCCCGACCAGGGATCGAACCTGAAACCTAGGTATGTGCTCTGACCGGGAATTAAGCCCCAAACCTTTTGGTGTACAGGATGACACGCCAGCTGAGCCACACTGGCCAGGGCAGGACATTTTTCTCTTTGTGCAAAGCTAACTGATCCACCTGGGACTTAAAACCACCACCCTCATTTACCTCACCAGCCTGCTCACCAGCGAGGGAGTGTCCCTTGTGTGACTGCACTTGTCTGTTGCTGGTCGTGCGAAGCTTCTCTCCATTGAGTTCCTTGAGGCACCAACTGTCCTGCTCTGCGGCCCCCCAGTCCTGGCCGGAAGGCTGGATGGCGGCTGTTTGTGATGTATTGACCGTAGGGATGTCCAGGTCAGAGGAGCCTCCACTTGATCTTCGATTTCGCTGGTTTTGCTTGAATCTTATATCCCAGCTGAGCCTCTGTGTCCAAGTGACACTTCTCTAAGTTAAGCTCATAGACATGGGCTCTTCAAGATGGACCAGGAGCCCCACCCTTCCCCATCAGCCTCACGTGGGATCACATGCGCAGACCCGGGTTCCCACCAGCCCTGAGGGCAGATCAGGCCTCTGACCTCCCGGTTGTTATTCACGATGGAGTCTGAGACACCCGAGGTGGAGGCTGGAACCTCTCCAGGTCTCTGGCCCTGGGGGTCTGGGCCGTAGGGGAAGGTCTCACCTGGTTTCCTTGGCAGTGCAGGTGGGGCAGGGGTGGCAGGCATACCCCTTTGGTATTGATTAGCTTGGGAGCCGCAGAGTGTCAGGGATGGACGGTCCATTTCTTTTATAGATAAACTGGATAGAAAATGACTCACCTAAGGTCCCCCTGAGGATACTTGTGTTCCTACGGCAGCCAGCAGATTTAGTTAAACTCAAAGCCCCAAACTATCTTTGGTAAAGTGCTCTTTTCATCCCACCCCCACATGCAGGGACAGCCCTTCTTGTAGCTGCTTCTTCGGTTGGGGAGGGGCTGCTGGAGGAGCAGCTGGCCTCCTGCCTGAGAAGGCCCTCCCTCCCCCAGGCCACTGCCCCCCACTGCCATGCCTGCTGCAACTGGTCCCACTCCTCCTGCCCCACCTCTTCGCCGTTTGTGTTTTTCAAGGGGATTTTTTTTTCTCATGTGAAACTGAGAAAAAGCCACCAAAGAGATGCCAAGCAGATGGGCTGAACGAGGGCCCAGTTCCCAGCCAGAACTCACGCTGTGGCTGGCAGAGGGTGGGCTGGGAGAGGGGTTGGGGCTCTCTCCCTGGGGATACTGTGGATCGTTTCCAGGCCCACATTTTTAGTGATCTGGTTTTCATGCAAAAAATACCAGACCAACAGGCATTTAGGGAGGGCTGGCTTTGTGTGCCCAGCATTGCGCCGGGTCCCGGGGGTCACACCGAGGCCGCAGCCCTCACCCCTCAAAGAACCTGCTGTCTACCGGGGCCCTTAACTGAGCAGAAGAAACCATATGGCTCAGCATGTGACAAGCTCAAGTGTGTCATGCGGCTTCTCAGTGGG